GATCTCTCCTTCCATGCTGTCAATCTGATTACTGCATGTGCTAATGAAGATTATTGATGTCCACAACAGCATCACTCTGTTTACCATGTCATGTTCTCTCTCTTTAGATCGCTGCAAACAACGTATATTAAAACTCATATTCTCTCTCCTTGCTGTATCTAGTACTTTAATCATACTGTGGTAACTTGGCTGCTTTAATCAAAATTCAGGAAGCAAACAAAATGACAGAAAGACTTTGAAATCTTAAAAAGCAGTTGAAGAAGACCCAATATTAAATAATATGAGATTATGAATTACACAATAACTAGTATTTTGGTGGAAACTATGGTTAACATGTTTTTTTGGGTTGTATTAAAGCAAAACATATAATTGCTTAATTAAAATGATATACTTTAACAAGTTTATTATACTCTTACTTAATATTCTTGTTACTTAAAGTAAGAAGTGTAAAGCCAGAAGTGTAAAACCAGAAAAACAAACATATCAAGAGGCTGTAATTGTTGCAAGAGCTTCATAAATGAGAAAACGTGACATAGAATGAGCTGTAGCTTTATGTTTATGTTCTGCTGCCCTCTTGTGGGCCAATATTACATCACTAATTACATTTATTGAACAACACATTTAAATAGACGCGTAGCCAAGTATGGTGTCCAGTACTCGGAATTTGAGCTCTGCATTTAACCCATTCAAGTGCACACACACAGCAGTGAGTAGTGAACACACACCCAGAGCAGTGGGCAGCCATATTTGCTGCGGCACCCAAGGAGCAGTTGGGGGTCTCAATAAATTAGAATGTCGTGGAAAAGTTCACTTATTTTCTGTTGGGTTACTACCCAGAAGGTTGGGTTAAACATTTAACCCAACCGCTGGGTCAAAACAGTCCAATTGCTGGGTTTGTCCCTATTTTACCCAGCACTGGGTTGTATTTAACCCAGCATTTATTAGGGTGTGGGTTTTTGTTAAATGTGAGCCAAAATCATCACAATTAAAAGAACCAAAGACTTAAACTACTTCAGTCTGTGTGCATTGAATTTATTTAATACACGAGTTTCACAATTTGAGTTGAATTACTGAAATAAATGAACTTTTCCATGACATTCTAATTTATTGAGATGCACCTGTATGTTGGGCAACACATCAAAAGAAGTGTACTTCTTTAAAGCACCACAATAGATTATTAAAACATAGTGATTTAAAATGTATTCTGAAGTAAAACCTTTAATGTGACACTATTACAACCTGCACTTTTTAAAAGTGTACTTAAATGTGTTAAGAAACAGTAAGAGAAGTATGCACTTTTTTAAGTACACTTTACTGGCCATTTATTTCATTAGTATTATTTTGTCTGCAAGTAGGCCTACAGTTTTTATATATACTTTTAAGGTTTGAAGTACACTGCAAGTGCACATTCAATACACTTTTTTTCACAAGGGGTGCTGTGCATTTTATGAAATCTTTAGTGCGTCAGAAAAATGTGTCAAATGTGTCAAAAAAAGTTTTGATCTGACTGTTATAAGTGCACCTGACCTTGACCTTTCTATATAATGTTGTATTGAGCTGCAGTAGTCCTCTTTATAAGATTTTATTCCCAACTATATAAGTTCACCCATAGTGTCCATAGATCTGCACCAGGGCCGGACTGGGATGCAATTTCAGGCCGGGAAATCTCACACTCATTGCAGGCCACACAGAAAAAAAAGAGGCCAAAATGGTACCTTTTGGGGTACAACAGCTTGTCACTGGAGCAGTACCCTTAAAAGAACATCTGTGTACCTTTTTTTTTTTTACCCCAATAGGTACATATTAGTACCTTATAGTAATTCGTACACATAAAGTACTAATATTTACCTATTAGGGGTAAAAGGCAAAATACGTCCCTTTTAAGGGTAGGGGAAAGCGGGGCACAAAGTAACACTTTTTGACTTTCTCAAATTGTGTAAATACCCGAGATTTAACAAACCTATATTTCATACAAATATATCAAAACAATTTTCTAAAGTGCCTAAAAGTCAAAATCAGTACAATATCTTTTTTGAAAAATCCTAATACTGAACACACTATTGCATTATTAGGCTGTGATATTTTTGTGTTGCTGTCTGCTCAAGCTCCCTCCCTTCCTATACAATAAATCCATGAGAATATCTGTCTGCTAAATTTATTAATGTAACTTTCCAATAGATGATGATGTCCTTTAGAACAGTATTCTGAATGATGTTAAAAATAGTGTGCCCCTGATAGCCTAACAGATAGGCTACTAGCAGTTTAATACTCAACTAGGTTAATAAAGACAAAACTCTTTAGCATATTTACAGATGAAACTGGCCTGCACCTGAAGCCCTGAACAGGCATTTTTGCTACATTTCGCTGCTTCTTCTGGCCACTTCCTCTCCTTCATCGAGTCCTGCGCATCGACTGTTTTCGAAACTGTCGTTTGAAGCACAGAACAGACGTGAGCCGATTCGTATAGCGCAGCGCTGCCAGGCAAGACTGACCGATTTATGATTTATTATCGATTTATTATCGTATGACAAAATCGGAAATTATCACTTTGGTACATTGAGAAGGCAAAATTATAAAATATGAAAAATAATAATAACTAAAAAACAAAAAACAAAAACAGGGCAGCAGGCCAAATCAGCGCAGGCCACCGGGAATTCGCCCGGTGCTCCCGATGGCCAGTCTGGGCCTGATCTGCACCTTTAAAAGATTACAAGTGGAAGGAAACCATGTGACTCCACCCCCACATCCACCATAACTCTCCCTGCATGTTTCCTCAGAATGATGCATTAAGGTTTGCATTGCACACGTGGCATTTTTCCCCTCATAAAGACATTAGCCTGTTAACCCCGTCACATCATTACAGGCTTATTCTGGTGAGTTATTGCCGCTGCTCCAGAGGGTTAACTGGCTGTCTGGAAATAGAGCCATCTCACTGATAACTTTAAACAAGCTTTAAACATCATGTAATGTTCTCATAAAGAATTACATGCTTTTGCATGTCATGTTTGACTGATTCATTGCACATATGTGAAAATGGTAGCAAAAGACAGCTTATAGATGCAGTTTTTAGATGTTTGTTATTGCAGTGGAATTATTGAAATATAAATAAATGTGAGTATAAGCATTATGTGTCCTTCAGGGTATCATTAATAAAAAATACAATAATTTCCTCTATAGAAAAATATTTAGAATTACTGTAAAAATAACTGCACAAGAGAAATAACGCAAAAACTAAATTATCTCACATTGGGTTGAGTATTGTCAGACTCTGTTCCATGTTTTGTCTGTGTCTTGCTCCCCAGGTGTTCCTTTCCCATGTTTAATTTGTCCCAGGTGTTCCCCATGATGGTTCATGGATCCCAGGTGTGTCTCGTCATCCCCTCCTCCTCGTGTGTGTATAAAGTGTTCCCAGTCCCAAGTTCTCTGTCCGCTGTGAACGTCTTCGTGTAAACGTCTTCCCTCCTCCTGTGTGTGTGTATAAAATGTGTTCCCAGTCCCAAGTTCTCTGTCCGCTGTTGTACGTCTTCCTGTGAATGTCTTCGTGTGAACGTCTTCCTGTGTTCGTCTCCCTTGGTTCCTTGGTGGTAATAAAGTCCTGTTAAACGTATTCTCCAGCGTCTCCTCGTTCCTCGTGTGTATGCAACGTGACAGAACAGTGGACCGAACTGTAAGCGGCATCCCTTCCCCTTGTTTGATTTCCGGTTTTTGTAAGTTTTTTGTTTTGCCCTTTTTTCCCGTGCGCTCCTCCACGTCCCCATATGGAGGAGCGTTTAATGTTCATCTCAGTGTTCCCAGTCCCAAGTTCTCTGTCCGCTGTTGTACGTCTTCCTGTGAATGTCTTCGTGTGAACGTCTTCCTGTGTTCGTCTCCCTTGGTTCCTTGGTGGTAATAAAGTCCTGTTAAACGTATTCTCCAGCGTCTCCTCGTTCCTCGTGTGTATGCAACGTGACAAGTATGGTGTGGCAGTATAAAATATAGATGATTTTTATGGATATGCAGTTCATATTTCAAAGTGTAAATGCTTTTAAATGCTTCAATTGTGATAGTTTAGAGCTGTCCTGAACTCAGTGGTCACACATGCTTTGATGTGGTCATGGATCTATTTATCTTTGCATTTAATGTTTGGTTAAGATTTTTATATGCTGGGCTGATCCAGTGCCAGGTATTATGTGCATACACAGGTCAGCACTTTTGTGTGTGTGTGTGTGTGTGTGTGTGTGTGTGTGTGTGTGTGTCTTTTGTGAGACTGACAATCCAAAGTACAATATGTACTGGGTGAGTGTGTGGTCTGTCAGCTACCTCACCTCTGAAGCACCAAGAGGCTTTAACCATGAGCCCAGTGGTCTTGCTTCAATTATAGTAGTTTTGTGAGCCACAGAGGTGCATGGAGCTTCGACTGCAAAGCTTTATTAACAAACCAGAGATTAGAATGAAAGAAGAGGAAATTCTACTGAAGTCTATAAAAAACGTGCAGGCGTCAAGCTGTCAAAGCTTGGTTGTGTTTCCTTCACCATTTACGTGTGTTAGTCTTTAGGATAAGACACATGATTGTCTGGAGTACTTGTGCCAAACATAAATAAAGACCAGAGAAAAATGGAAAAAATTATGTGAGGGTTACTTGGTTACAAAAATAGGCAAATTTGGAAACTAATGAATCTGGTACAGTGGAAAATTATTATTAGTATTATTATTGTTATAACATTGAGTTGACGGGGCTCAAAAATAAGCATGGCCAGTGTGAGGTTTTGTTGAAATTGCATAAAAGCATGTGATAATCTTGAAAGCATCGTGTTGAAAATTACAAATCAATCAGTAATGTTTTGCATCATATGGCATCGTTTTCCATCAAGTGTGTTGGTCAAAAGTTTGGAATAATCAAGAATTTTTTTTTTTTTAATATATA